TCTTAATAACTCCATTCGTGCTTCTTCGGACGTTGACAGTGCAACTCCTTTAGATAAAAAAACCTGCTCCGAAAAAAATAAAATACAATACAAGCGACGATTAATTGCCGGAATTCTTCGCCGCACTAGACTTCTTTACCTTTGTCTGTTACCCCACGTAGAGTAGCATAAGCTGTCCACCAGCATTCTCCATCCAACTGTCCTGAGCCATCCTCTCCGGTTTTTTCCAGTTGCCATTCATCTTTCTCATATCTACTCCCAATTTCCGATATAATGTGTTCTTCGGTTTTCTTCTTTTTTGTTTACCTTCAGGATTCCAAGTTAACATATGCCTCGTGATGCAGTTTGATGATTTCCGCAATGTATGTCCTGTCCAATTCCACCGAAGTTTCTTAATTTCCTTTTCAGTTGGAAGCTCTTTCACAGTAGTCCCTCGCTGATGGTATCCGGCCAAATGATAGTGAGTATCTAGCTTAGCCAATTGTATTTAAATACTTGTACCTTTTTGGTTGCAATAGTTTTGCACGTTTCAGCTCTGTACAGTAGAACTGTTTTGAGATTCGCATTGAAGATTGGACTTTGATATTGGTTGAAAGTTGTTTTGAGTTCCATGAGTTCTTCAATTGTAGGAATGCGGACATTGCTTTGCCAATCCTAGCATATACGTCCTCATCGGACCATCCACATTCATCGATGATGCCGTCCAGACACGTGAAAGTTTTCACATCTTCCACAGCTTCTCCATCAAGAGTGATTGCACTGAATTTCGTTGTTATATTCCAGGATTGTGCTTTTCCCCGTGCATTTTAAGGCATAATGATGCAGATGCTGCTTCGATACTGGCTTTCTTCGCCTGCAATTGTCTGGCGACTGTCTAGAGAAAAATGCCAAAGGTTTGTAGGAGTGCTTAACCCATTGTTGTAAGACACCTCCGATTGCTGATTCGGATGCGTCTACTGCGATACAAATGGGTGCTTTAGTGTCATGATGTGCAAGCATTGTTGCTTTAGCGATAAGTTCCTTAACTGTGGAGGATGCTTCCTGCGTGGTGTCGTCCGGATTGATGGATTTCGCACTACCACGAAGTTGGTCAGTTAGCGGTTTCATAAGTGACGCGCAGTTCGGTATGAATCGTCCATAGAAAATCACCAAGCTGTTAAATATGCGTAATTGCTCGATGGTGTTCGGTTCTAAGTAATCCGGAATGGCTGCCGCTTTATTTCTAAGGGGTCGGATGCCGTGCGCATCTTTAGTGTGTCCTAGGGAGTCTAAGGAATCAGTTCTGATTTAGCATTCCTGAGTGTTTACAGTAATGCCTTCTTAGGGACCATGTGCGACGGAGATACCCAAAGGCTGTTTGACAGTCGTATGATACCTAACTCTATCATTAATAGAATTTGTTTTTAGCTAACTTCAGCCAGTCGGCGCGCTTTCGAGAATACAGGTGGTCCCGTAGTCGTGATGTGACGTGTAACGTTGCTGGTTACACACGATAATTTCGGTTGCGGTTGGTATATCCGAGAATACATATCTAGTATAGGTTGATAGAATGGGTCTATCGTGTGTCTAACTTTGACAGGAGATAGTCTGCGACCGGAAAAAGAAGTTACGCGAGCAGATAGTTTAGCGTAAACCCACTTCGAGGGAAACGTACCTTTTGCCACATGTAGCGATAGGCTTTCCGTTTGTCGATGAGGTAGCGAACTGTCGTTATCACATCTGTGATGTGTAACAGATGGCTATGTTCGCCTGCTACGGCTGCTGTTGATGCGTGCCGGCTTGGGAGTTTCCCGAATTGTTTTTTGTTATATTTCGATGAGAATAATAAATGGTAATTTTCGGGATTCATTTATGGACCAATACCACGAGTATATTTTTATCGTATGACTGTCATGTAACTAAGCTGTTCATATTCATGTTCCTTTCATTATGAGTTTTATTTTGACCTATGAACTATTATTATACGATTTACCATTCTTAAGTTATGGCCTGTCTATTAATTACTCTCTCCCTCATTCACAGCCACTTTTGACCAAATATTGTACAAATGCAATTTTTTATTTTATGGTACGTTGTGGTCTGTTTGATTGGTAATGATTCATATTGCAGAGGCTGAGATTTGTGTTCTGGACTCAACTGGTTGGGCTAGACAGGGAAGCAGGACCAATCACGACTCTAGGTTGCTCGCACATGTTTATGCGTCACTGGTTCAATCGATGATTCGCTGCTCTCTGATTGGCGGTATCGTTGCGCTATCCAATATACAGGGCACACAGATTCACAATTTATAACATTTTTCGTGTCGGTTGGTTTTGAGTTTGAAAATCTGCAGGGTTTTCTGCAATTTCTGGAGGACTTTCGATACCAGCACCAGTCAGGGTTATCAGTCTCCCGTGGTCTAGAGACAAATCGCCTGCGTGAAGTGCTTCTTCACAGTGTGTTGACCGTTTATGGTTATTACGAAATTGCAAATAACGTGTAAGTGTGCGACATAACTCTGTTATGTCATTCTGGGTCGTTTGAGGTTTTTCTTTAACTGAAAGAACTTTGGTATTAAAGAATTTGTTGATTTCAAGGATGTGGTCAGCTCGTTTACGGAGTTGTTTTGAAAGGAGACCAGCAGAGCTTGCACCTGTTGAGGAAGTCTAGATATGGAACGTTGTCTGAATAATCCGTCATCGAAGGTTTTTGGCCGATAACCTCTCTCATTCGTTGCAACATGTCTGTTGCAGAACCACGTTGCAGGCCGATGTTATTAAGGAGTTAGTCTAACCGTTGTCGATTGGTTAGATCTCCGCGTTTAAGGATAGATCGTTCCAGTTTTTCATATGGTTCCGAACTATCAATAGTAAACATGCTAGATGTTATGTACCTGTTGAATTAGTGAGGTAGTGCCCTGTCTACTGCGAGGAATTGTGCACGTGTGTCGATCACGCCGTGCTCGTAGAAGTCAGCTTCCGCGTAGCAGAACCAGGCTTCGATGTTGTCTGGCCAGAAGGGCATTAGCTGAAACGAAGGTGGTGATATAGTCTCTAACTTAAGTACCTTAGGTGTCTGTTCAGCCATGATGAGACATCAAGTACGAGAATGAACGAGTGAAGAAATATATATCCAAAACACGGAGAAATACCACTATATATAAAAAATTAAAATAAGGCAATGATATATAAAATCCCAATTTGATGTGCCAGATCACGTTAGGCTCATCAACGAAGATGCCATGGGTATTTGTAATTTGGCAACGCTTTAACCAGTAACACGTTCTAATATGAATCGTACCCTCCAAGCGAAATCAAAATACAGAAACGAGGAGGTTCGAAGATATATTCGATAGTCTATCAATATATCGTGGGTCGACTGATCTAATCTGGGTAGCGATTGCGAGGATGCTGAGCACGGCGTTCCCACTCGTGATCTGATACGGATGCATGACCGAGTGCCTTCGGCTAAGTGAGTGCATCGAAACCAATGTGTTCAGCATCCAATGTCGAAAACTTACAGAGCTATTTATTTTGGGGATTTATTTACCGCTTGAGTTTGTATGGAACACAAGGTTCGAATTATTCCAAAGTTCAAATCGTCTAGTTGCATGCAAGCTGTCCATTGTATTCCGTGCTTCCCTTCAGATGTGTCGGTTTTCATAATCCGGTCAACCGTCAGGTGAGAGGGAGTGGAAATAAATACACTGTACACGTACTCTGCAGTGCTAACGAAGGTTTCATAAGGTTCTCCAATTCACACTGTCAAGTGTTTTTCATAATCAAAAAAGTTGGTGTATAGTGACAGGTTCCTTTCAATTGATAGTCCAACAGTGATCCGTATTATCGCAATTCAGTCTGTGCACGACCAATCCTTACGTAATCTAGCCTGTTGATCTCGAAGTTCAGTGTCTACCGAATCTTTCAGCTGGCTCAAATACATTCTGTTGAAAACCTTTCCTGATACTCATAGTAGTGTGATTTCTTTGTAGTTTTCACATTTGCTCAAATCTCTTTTCTTGGGTATCCTGATGAGGTGTTTTTCCTTTTTAGTCTGTCGACAATTGTTCTTCCTCCCAAGCCTTCCTGAATAGAATGTGGAGCATGTTTACAGTTGCTTCCACGTGTGACCTCAGTGATTTAGCTCGTATGTTGTCGCATCTTGATGCTTTCTCACTCTTGATGTGTCTGATGGTCTGATGGTCAACCTGATTTCTTCCGTCGTTGGTGGAGTGACATCTATAGTAAGGTCTGTGTGTGTTTCTTCGATGTTCAGTGTGGATGTTCTATTCAAGAGTTCCTTAAAGTTTTCTACCCATCTGTTCCTCTGTTCTTGAATCTCAGTGATTGACTTACCTTCTTTGTTCTTGTCTGTTATCTCTGGTTTACTACATTTTTCCTGTTAGATTCTTATTTGTGTCATGTATTTGTCTTGCATTTCCGCTGTCGTTTTCACGTCTTCCACGTATTTCTGATTGTCAGCTCTAATGCTCCTTTTCTCTCTCTTGTTTACTTCTATATATTCGGTCTTTGCTCTAAATTATTATTCGAAAGTTAGGAAAAGTGGTGCAAATGTCCTTCTTAGTGCAGATCGAATACTACCGACCAAGTTGCAATATGACCACCAGTCTTGGGACACGACACTGCATGCATTATGTTGAGATAAGATGGTGGCTGGAGGTAGTCAACAGGAAACCCTGAACTCGGGTTTCGTGCCACTTGTCACACTCATCAGCAAGGTGTATCTGTAATCTTGAGGGAACTGGTTCTCCCAGCTTCACAGATCTGTGTAAACTGAACTTTACACTATTGAATATCAATGAATCAGTATATTTACTATGTGAAAAGATTTACAATACAACACAATACAATTAAGTACTTATAACTGATAAATATACCTAATCAACTAAGTTACTCTTCAAGATACGGTTCAATGTCAGATATATATCATTTAAAGAAATTAATTATGTACATTGTTCTCATTGTACTTGATCAAATCATTACTCGTTATGTGACATTGTTTTATGGAATTTCATTGATAATATTAAGTTTCTCATATAATCGACTTATTAATGCAATTAGAATACATTTAATCAACTTGATTTGTATTAAATTCATTGAAGATATTTCATTGAATTTATCTGTTATAGATATAATACTATTTATATTGAAAATATAAAGTAAATCTTTATAATCTATATTCATTAATGTATCAATTAAATATGGATATTGTTCAGTGAACCAATCTATAATAAATAATGATCGAATAATTGTGGATATAGATTCTTCTTTATGTTCCATATTACTACTAATACTACTAGTAGTAGTATGAGTATTAGTGTTAGCACTAGTAGTATTAGTAGTAGTATTATGAGTAGTAGTGTTAGCATTAGTAGTATGAGTAGTATGAGTATTAGTGTTAGCATTAGTAGTATGAGTAGTATGAGTATTAGTGTTAGCATTAGTAGTATGAGTAGTATGAGTAGTACTGGTTAGTTTTTTTGAATTCATAATATTAAATGTTGTAGATGCATGAGCTAATAGACAATTTAATAAATAGATTATTGATTTATTTGATTTCATGATAATCATATTATGAATGATTAATTTTATCCAATCATCTTGATGAACAATTCCATTAAGATTGTTTGTTCTATTCAATATGATTGATAAATGTGATGTATTTAATATAAGTTCAGAAAAGAAACAATTAATTTGATCATTGAATTGATGTATGAAAATACCAATTTCAGGATGATCATTGAAAATACTTCTGATTGTTGATACTGTGATTGCATATGGATCTTTTTCTGAAATATCTTGTAACCATTGATCAACATGGACATATTCTTTACTCATTATATCCTATATATAAATGGATAATTGATTCATATGAACAAATAGAAAAATATAATAAAAACTCATATTATTTATGAATTCAATGAAGGAAACTAACTTCACGACAAAATAATATCTGATGATAGTTAACTTCATTAAGTGACTATAATTAGACAACTATTGTGCAGTAGGAACAACAACAATATCGATCTAATGATATGCTTGAATACTATTACGAGTTCATTATACTCGATAAACGGAACGAAAGTCAAAGATACAGTGACATGATAAGCTATTCTAATCTGTTGTCCCCGGCCCTGCTAACTAGATCAAGAAGTCTTGATGAGGCACCCAGAAAATACGAGGTCACTAAGCACACAAATCAAGCTTATTTATACAATGATAGGAACGTCATTGGAAGAACCACAAAACAGAATATTAAAAAAATCCGTCGACCAATGACAGTCAAGAATTTCCGAGTAGATAATGTAAGCTATAGGTCAATTCAGCATCTCTTGGCGCGAAAAGATAAAATTCAAATTTTCAGAATAAAATTACGAAATTAGAACTTTTCCAAGTGAGTTTTGGGGATCTAACGTCTTCAACACTTACGAACCCATAATGGTTTATACCTGAAATCTCTATGTATTTCAGCAACCAAATAATGTGTAAACAACTGAGTTACCATCCAATAGTTCATCATTTTGATTTCTGTCAGTTTCCTATACTGAAGGATTATCATTTATCTTTACCAGTGATTTTTATCGCGTACCTACCAGAAGCGAATATACTTCATTAAAACCAACTTAATAATAAAATAATATCTGTAAGGTATTAACTAAACGTAAAGATGGGTCACAGATAAAGATTTACTTTTACTGAAGTACACTCACAAGGATATGAACTAATACAGAAATAGTTTGCCCTTGACCTGATGCATAAAATAAGTTTAAATCAGGTGACAATAAATTGTTAATGCTTTAGATTAAAACAATATCCATCGTCATGGTGTTGATTATAATTGTGAATAATCCAAAATATTTATTATAAATATTGTTTGAGATTTGATCTTTAGTTGTTTTAGTAATTATCTAATTATCTCAGTGAGACTATAGTGAGGCTAAAGTGACGTTGAATGTGTCCACTTCATAACTAGGACCAAATAAGGATTATAAACCAGTGTGTGAGGAATCAGAATTATGATTTACAGTTGATAGTTAGGATTAGGAATTAGATTTAGGGTTTTCATCATGAACTGAAATAAGCTATAATGCCAAGATTCTATTTAGTCATATGGGTGAATGAATTTCGCATCAAAATCCCAGACGTGTTATCTCAAATCTAATTGGTTCGTCCATAAAAACGATTGTCTTGCTCTTATCTCTTCCATTTCATTTTTGTAAGATTAACAATTAGAATGATGTTAGTGATTATAATTGTGAGGTTATGTGAATTGTTTCTAATTTAGCTGATAAATTAAGAACATTTACTAAACCGTTTGGTGTAGTCTGGCTTGTATCTTCCCATTCAGGTTTAAGACTGCAATTGATCAGTCTGTTATTGGCATATGTGCATACTGTGTGTATGTCTCGATATTGCCTTCATTGCTTACAAAAAGCTTGTGAATTAAGACAATCCCGTTGCACAAGCAAGCGGCTATCAGGTTTCAGTAGCTAACTGTATAACGCGATGGCATTTGAAGCGAATGGTACTGGGTTCGAGTCTCAGAGTGAACATCAACTCTGAGATGCAGGTACATCCAGCTGAGGGGTCTCAAATAGAACGAGGTGGCGTGCGTTCTGGATTCCACTGCTAGCCACTATCCATCATTTACTAAACCATTTAATCAACTAGATGATTAGATCCGTGACATTCAAATTTTACAATATTTAGCAATCACTGTATTCATTAAGCTACTCAAATGGAATTTAAGAAAACAAAAAAGAAAACAGGAAATATACAGAAAATACTTCTTTTCTAATTTAAACTTGAAAACAAAAATGCATCTTTTAAAGAATTCATCAAGAGTTTACATATATCAATACAGGTTAACCATCTATTCTATGTATGGATTAGACTTATTGTAATATGGAAGATACTTGTTAGTTTCAATGACTCTATTCGTTTTGTTTTTTTCAATAATGATCAACTATGAAGTGTTATTACATCTAGACTAGTCATTTTAAAATATGTCAGGCTTCTTTGTTGAACTAACTTGTTACAAAACTATTGAAATGCAACGAGATTACCTGGTACTACAATTTCTACGTTTATCCTAGTACCTTTGAATCCAATAACAAAATGCCTTTTTATAAAGAACTCTGGTTTTCTTGTACATTATTTCATTCGTTATTTGAATTACAAGATACAATAACTTTCATTGTGTTTACGAATTTCTCTCCAACTTGATAACTAGTCGGTTTGTGACCACTCGAATACGCATTGGACAGTTCGGTGAATGACTATTTAATATGGCAAATTCGACTATATCCAATTATCATAAGGATATACTCGTAGTGTATGGCGAATATTTCTTACTTTTGTTATCAAGTTAAATGTTTTATATTATGTATTGTAATTAGTTATAATAATAAAGTGCAATTCCATTCTGTCTACTTCAAATTCAAATTCTTATTTGTGTCTTATTGAAGTCTTAGCTCAGTTGAGATTAATAATAATTCATCATATTTCAGTACTTTATAATGCTGTGGAATTGAGAGTAAATTAAACATATGAAGTTTTAATGATGTCTTAAATACGACATCATAGTACATTTCATCAGTCTATTAACATACAACTCCGCCTGGAGTCCCTCTGGGGACTACTGCCGGTCCCAAGCCCGGATAAAGGAGGAGGGTTGGGCATGGGGTTATCGAACTCATCCCGTTAAAAACTAACTCGCTAAAAAAACGCTAACCAGAAAAAACTATTGAACATAGAATTATAAGAGAACTATTAACATCTATCCACTAACCTATCATATATGATGGTAGTCTTATTAAGATTATTCTACATAAATATAATTGGCTATACTTTAACATATGAAAGTAATCAAGTATATAATTGAAAAGTTACGTCAGTTTCGGCGAACAATATGATAAACGTGCACGAAAAGTTTGAAATCAGTTGAAATAATCACTGAATAATGTATTTGTTAACTTGCTCTGCTAATCAATGAAACTAATCAATAGGAACCTGGTTATCATAGTGATACAGTAGGTCAATTAGACGTTGGCTAAAATTTGGTTTCCTTTCTTACGGAGTGGGATACATATCGCTGATGAAAAAACGTGGCTTAAACTTCCGAAGGAAATATATGTGTGGTGTGAGTTACTTAAACCCACATAAGTAGATTCAGATTCAGATTTCAGATTCAGATTTGTGTAGTAAGGACAGAAGGCCTACGGCCTATGTTATTCCTTTTCTAGTATGCTTCTGTGAGTGTCCAGTCTTCTCTTGAAAGAGTCAATTGAAGGTGCGGATACCACTGCTTCAGGCAGCAGGTTCCAAGTATTGATGACTCGGTGTGAAAACCTGTATGCCAGGGGTATTTTGTTCGTTCTTGGCTTTTCTACTCGCCTGCTATGTCCTCTGAGGTGTCCCGATCTAGTGGGAAGAAAGAGAGAGAATAAGTTAGGTCCGAAATCATTTCTCAGTATTCTGTACATCAATATTAGATCTCCCCTTAGTCTGCGATAGGACAGAGTAAGGAGGTTCAGTTTTTCAAGCCGCTCTTTATATGATAAACCCCGGAGTTCCGGAATTGCACGCGTAGCTGCCCTCTGTACCTTTTCTAGTATGTCTGAGTCACCTTTTAAACAGGGACTTGCAGCCTGAACACAGTTCTCTAACTTAGTTCTCACTAGGGATGTGTATAATGTGGTGAACATGGTAGTATCAAGCTTAGTGAATGTCCTTTTTAAAGCCCAGAGGGTTCGAAACCCCTTAACTGCGACCTCCCGGCAATGGGCCGTCGTCTTAAGATCATTGCTCACTGTCACCCCTAGGTCCTTATGAGACCGGACTACGGGTAATGACACATCCCGTATGTTGTACGTATTAACCTTTGAATCCCCCAAGTGCATGTAGACACACTTTTCCGAGTTGATAGGCATTAGCCACTCTTTAGACCAGTTTATCATATTATTTAAGTCCGCTCGAAGAGCACATGAGTCTTTGTCTCCAGTTATTACTCGCCAAATTTTTACATCGTCAGCGTATAATAACATTGGAGACTGTACTATACTTGTAATATCATTAACGTACATTATAAAAGTAAAGGACCTAGGACGGAACCTTGGGGTACTCCACTAAGTACTGGTCTCCAGATGGAGCACTTGGAATTTATTCTTACTTTTTGCCTACGACCTACTAGGAAATCCTTAATCCATTTTAAAAGAGGTCCGACAATACCAAGGTTTGCCAACTTCAATAGCAGTCTATTAGTTGGCACCTTGTCAAAAGCCTTACTGAAGTCTATGTAGACAACATCCACTGAGTTTCCGTTGTCTAGCGCATTAATCCAGAGCTCCCTAGCTATAAGGAGGTTCGTTGTACAGGATAGACCCTTTCTAAAACCATGTTGTGCCATGTTCAGCAAGTTATTGGTTTCCATAAATGCTGTTATGGTCCGTTTGATTATCCTTTCCAGTATTTTAATTACAACACTGGTGAGGCTTACGGGTCTGTAATTTGATGGAACTTATCGTAGACCAGTTTTATGTATGAGAGTGACGATTGCGTCCTTCCAGTCCATAGGTAACACACTTTGGTCAAGTGACATTTTGAACATCACAGTCAGTGGGGCTGCGATATATTCGGCAATATGTCTCAAGATTTTAGGGTGTAGTTCATCTGGTCCTGTTGACTTCTCCATGTTTAGGGTGCTAAGAGCCTTAAGCACATCGTTTTGGTCCAAGTCCACGGTGAGCAGCTGGTTTGTTGACTCTGTAATTGGGTCTGGTTCTTTCTCTAGAGGAGGTTCCTGAGTGAAAACTGCCCCAAAGTAGTCAGCCATAACCTCAGCTTTTTCCTGATCTTCCTCTATCATTTCAGATTCACTTCCTACTTTAATTAGGTTGGGAATCCAGTGATGAATCCTTGTTCTGTAGTTTATGTACGAGAATATCCTCTTGGGCTGCTTGAGTGCAGATTGTGCCAGCTGCATTTCATATTTTCTTTGCGCTTCCCGAATTTTAGTTATACACTCGTTTCTTATCGATCTGTAGTGTTCCATCGTACCTGCTGTGCCAAGGCGGATGGCAACATCCCAGCATTTCTTCTTTTGTCTTAGTAAGCGTCGAATATCCCGCCCTAATCAGACATAAAATGTATTTCAGTAGAAGATCGAGAAGGAAAGAACGGGATGAAAAGAATAGTATGAAAATGCAGGAACAATGAAATCTGAGACAATGGACTGTTATTTGCTCTCTAATTTAGTGTCAAATACATTCGATTGTCCCCACTCGTGTTCTTGTTCACTACATACGTATATTCGTTAGTGTACATTTTAGTTCTCTGTTCACTCTGTCCTCCCACTCAGGTAATCATTCGGGCTAATGGACAGAAAACTGGTTTATCAGTATCAGAATTAGACAATGCCTTACGCAAAACTTGATGTTCATCATTTAGACTAAAAGCCAAAATCTATCGCCAGATTTGATGACTAGCTATAAACATTCCATTTTTATCCGTAATTCACTACTACATTGTAGAGAATACTTTAATACATGAATATTGCCTAACCTAACGAATTATCTGTCATAACAGGTAGCTTATCCACAGAAACTTCTGACAATTTGACAATTAATGAATCAAACAAAATGGATATATTAAATATTCATAATGAATAACTTACTAATCTTTCCATTTCATATCTTTGAATCCATGTCTCTAATTCAATTTGAAAACAATTAGGCTGTTGAGTACTTTCCTTATATAATACATCTAAAGAGAAGTCATCAATTACACATGGTAACTGTACTAAGTGTTCAATGAGATGTGAAATAACTTTTTCCAATTTTTTTCTCATAACTTTCTCATTCACAGTTATTGTGATTTCATCCTTCTTAAGTAGACTAAGATTTCTATTGGATTGTGTAAATATTGGCAAAATGTATGATAGTAATAAATTGATTATTTTCATTAAATGAATGACCAGTTTCATGCGATCACTTGTTGTTTGCTTTGATTGAGTTCCTATGATGTGTTTATCACGATCTTCTAGTTCAACGCATATTTGTGTTTCTTTGTTTCCAAGATAAATTGGTTGCGCCGGCAATGTAAATGTTACCTAAAATGACAAGATATTTCTGAGTATCATTTTAATTGATCAATAGTTTGTAATAAACTCAACAATAGTACCAGTATAGTGAAAAAGAACACATGAGGAGAAAACCAAAATGGATTTGAATACAACTTTACAGAATGTTTTAGCAAAATCTGAGAACCATACAGTAAATACTTCATTTGCAAATTATTCATCAATCGTCTCAGATTTCATTGTTTCTTTGTTTCTCTGTTGTCGTTCTCTTTGCCTTGATCTTTTTAATCTTCTACCTTTAGATAATTCACATTCTATTGATGATACATGCTACTTATCTCTGTCGACATCAGTAGTGCATCCCACAACAGGATTACTATTTCTTCGTAAAAGAAACATGATACAAATTAGAAAATATTTTACTAAATGAACAATATTCTACAGTTACTGTCCAAATATTCTTCTGTGAACTTTCAGATCAAATCCATTGATTCTTAGATTGTGTTTACACTGGAGCATATAAAATAAAATGGTGACTATTGACCGATATGATTCAATATCCCTGTACATTTTATTTCATATAGACTGGTTGAAAGCAATTAGAAAGAGACCTTAGATCTTGATTTTCTTCTTCTTATTATTATTTGTTGGGGACGTTAGATCCCCAGAACTCATTTGGGAAAGGACCTAATTTTGTAATTTTATTTGGAAAATTAGAATTTATTTGTTTTCGCGCCATAAGCGCTCTTGTCGCCTTCGTGACGTATTTCCCACTGGGAAATATGTTAAATCCTATTGGTCCGTTGCGTCTTTTAGTATGCTATTCGGTAACTCTCTCCAAGGACGGTTTTGTACTCTATATATACGTTTTAAATTGCGTTTGTTGTTATCGCTCGTTTCTGGCTATTTGCAGAATATACTTCTCCGTTCTAAGCTTGGAATTCTTCCTCTAGGACGCATCAAATAGCTAGCTTACTGGTCTTTGGTCACTGAGTCTTTGTTCTCGTTCATAGATTAATTGAACTCGTGATAGCTTCAACCCTAGCATTATTAATGGCTTTATTCAATATTGTAGTTTTGGTATAAGATAGAATTATCAACATTTCTTCATCATAACTACAATATTGAGAGAACTAATACTCTGTATAGTCAGTAGTTGGATGCATATCATTCACTGTCACAATGAATGACCATTTGAGTAAAAGGTACCATTGAATAATGCATCTTTTTGTTTTAGTACAAAATTCTCGTTGTCAATAAAATTCAATTGTAATTCAATATGATGAAGCTTAACGATGATCAAAATGGAAATTTGATGACTTCTTTTAACTGGATGATATTTTATCCCTATGAAAGACAAATGATATACTTGAAAGAATTTAAGACATTCTAATCCCCTAAAAATAATCTTACTTGAGTTAAAAGAAGCTCCATAATTGTAATCAGTTGATTAGATAATCTTATACAAACATCTAAAGGATATTTATCTAAAATGATTGTTAAATTATGATCTAATTGATTTAATTGTTCATTTATAAGATGAATAATATTCGAATTGATCTGTTTTTTATGTATGAATTCATTGATCATTTTAGTTTTATTAATCCAATGATCTAATTTATTTATATATATAGTGAATGTATCCATATGATTGTTCATTTGAATATTACTTGTATCCATGGTAACATTTTTACAGAATGGTTTAAACATATTCATTAATTGTTGTAAATCTTCATTATCCGCTGTTGTTGAATAGATTATTGTATTCTTTCTAGTTGCCTTAGCAATTAATCCTTCAATATTATCTTCTTCTAAGGATGGTGAGGATGATGATGATAATGATGAAAGGAATTGTTTGATTGATGATGTTTGGTATAATTGAAAATGTGTTAAATTCATTAAATTTGTAATCATATGTTTGAATTGTTTATTAGAATAATACCATCGATTTATTGATTTTTGTAAAGTATCAAATCCAATAAAATTTGTATCGGTTAAATAGATGTGTAATTTTCGAATGACACTAATAACTGGATCATGATCATTTTCTCTAAAAAGAAGAAAAAAAAAGCAAACATGAAACGATCAATATCAGTGTATAAATGATTATGAACCATCATTATATGATAAAAATCAGGTTACATAATGTTTAAATCCTGATGGCAACTGGTTAATAATATCCACATATTTTTATTGTATAATCATTAAGTAACTAAATTATGCATATTCATCTTTCTCTTATTATAAGCTTTATTTTGACTCATCAACTATTATTATACGATTTACCGTTCTTGAGTTATGCCCAGTCTACTAACTACAGTCTCCCATATTCACCGTCACATCTGGCTAAATCTTGTACAAATGTGTAATTTTTATTTTATGGTGTGATGTGGTCTGTTTGGTTTGTATATAAACCCAGTATGTTTGAAATACATGATCCATCTTGAAGAGACTGACATTGGTGTTCTGGACTATAACAGGGAGGGCTATGCAGAAAGAAGGACTGATAAAGACTCTATACTTCCTGTACAGGTTTATGAGTCGTTGATCCGGTCGATAATTCGCTGTTCTCTAATTCACAATATCATTACATTATATACATTGATAAGGCACAACGTCATAAGATGTAACATATAAAATGTTGAATGTATCACAACTTTTTAATCTCTGGTCACATTTCACTTTACAAATTCTACTTTCTATTGGATTCATTGATTAACAACTACATTTTTGTCTTTACGGCATAAATACCTTTTACATTGGGTATTTTAAATAAAATTAAACTGTACCTCATATCGGCTTAACACATGAGCAGATCATTAGTGTGTGCTGTTAAAATGTCGGAAACTAAGATCGAGTTCTATCTTCTTCAAATTGAGTTATTCTTGGAATTCTTAATTCACAAATGAAATTCGATCATTTTAGACAATCATACTTATTCCTATTCATTTAACTTCATTATGAAATTTATAACAGTTAAATATTAAGAAGACTTCAGAAACATTGTTGAATTTATTTTATTCTCTGAATGTATATAGAGGCATTGATTTGTAGTGTGGTGTCGAGTCGCGGTTGACTATGATCACCACTACAGGAAGACTACATGTCAGTTAACCGATAAGATCCCCCCGTAAGTCAAATATCAGAAGGCAGTAGTCGAGATGTATTCGTTGGTGATCTCGTGGTATCGAAAGAATACCGAGATCGTGCCAAAGGAGTATAAGTGTGGTTACTCAGCGTAACCGAATTCGCGCAAGGTCACAATCAGAGGAAGGTAGAATGTCTTTAGTACAGTACAATTGGTAATAATAATAATAATTGCTTCCATTAAACCAATTGCGTTCTCTTGATAAAAGTAGGTCACTACAGATTTATTAACTTAAATACTTAAACTGCCATGTAATGAAATATTTTATCGTACTCTTAATTAAGAGGTAAGCAACAAATTATTTTCAGAAGGGAATTTGTGGATATTATAGTAATTTTATTAGTTGACATCATGAGTCAACTGATGCTAGACCACCATGAAAAGCCTACAAACACTGGACAGCCGTTTCGTCCGACTGTGGGACTCCTCAGCAGTGTGCATCCACGATCTCACCTCGCGAGATTGTAACCCAGGACCTATCATTCTCGCGTGCGAGCATTTAACCATTAGACCACTAAGTCGGCCGGCATCCAGCGGTGTTAATGCCTAGCTTCAACTAATTCACGAAATTGAGCGACACATCCAACAATGTCATCAGTGATTTACTATCTCACAACAGACCCCTTTGAAATCCACTGGCCACTACCTCTCACTAGAACTCCAGGAAATACCTATTGAAGACTGTCAAAAAACACATTATTTGAATATATGATTTACTAAATAACTTTCAAACTAAAAACACCTCTTTACATAACTTACGTAACTTTAGAGGTTAATATCCCAGCTTGTTGATCATTATTCACATCATCTATGATAGCACATTCCTTTTCGACTTTTTCTATTTTATCTGTAAACTGTATTGAATATTAAAATTCTCAAGTGAATTCAACTGAAAATTTACTCTGAAAAAAACATCTTATGGTTTTTCATTGTGGAATGACTTTACCTGGGCAATCGTTAAAACTAAAGAGCATTGAACAGCTGTCTTCTAACATAATAAAATGAAGCATTGAACTAGTTGTTTGATTAATGAAGTGACAGGTGATATTTTGCAAAGGAAATCCAAGTGACTTGTACAGTCATATTCACAATGAAAGAAAAACAAATAAGCGTTTCATTGTGTTTCTGAGTTATGTCGTCAGTTGGTTGTCTTTATGATTTAATTATTATTTATGTTTTCAGTAAGAAACAATATCAATATCAAAGTGAGAATCTTCAATACGAACGTCAAGAGAGTTAGTTCTATTGTATGGAGCCTAAACTTGAAGAACTACGACAATCATCAACAAGAAGGTACAATTATGAATAAATAGTTGTCTATGCAAGATAATCAACATCCAGTGGCCAGATACCATCAAAAATAGCCTACTGTAGGAGAGGACAAACCAACTTTCAGCTGAAGAGGAAATTAGGTAAAGACGATGGAAATGGATAGGACATACATTACGGAAATCATCAAACTGCATTACGTGGCAAGCCCTAACTTGAAATCCCTGAGGGGAAGCGGAAAAGTCGGAGGTCAAAGAACACATTACATCGGGAAATAGAATGAGATATGAAAAGGATGAATAACGACTGGAAGGAGTTGGAAAGGATTGTCCAGGATAGGGTTGGATGAAGAGTGCTGGTGACCGGTCTATACTCCTTCACGAGGGGTAACAGGCGGTATAAGTAAGAAACACTTAACACTCATTTGTAAATATTTCATCATGAGATGTGATGAATTATCAGGATTCAATTCATAAAGAATTTTAAAAAAGTGCTGAGAGAAATTAAAGAAATTTTCAACAAAACTACTGATTTGCATTTGAGAAATACTGTCAGCTACTAATATCATTTAAACTAGGCATCTTTTCTAATGTCCTTACATTGGATAGTTTAAATGGGATGAGGAACTTTAAACGAAATACTAAACACATTTTAATAAAGTTAAGTTCTATGATTTTAATGGTATAATTGTGACATATTCATTTCCATTCTGAATAACACCAAACTCATATGTAAGGGAGAAAATTGCTCTGCCATATGTGGAAGTCATCTCAGAAATGACAACAAAGATTGCAAAACATTTTTCATATCAATATGCTTCACAAACCACCACAATCACTTTATTCCATTTTATACAAGCCGAAAGACATAACAGTGAAAGGATACAAAAGCAATCTCAACTACAAATAAGACTGAACCAACCTAGAGAAACACTAAAGTGAACAAAGTAGACGCCCCATTCGCTTACGCACATACGAGCGAAAACGATGAGTAAAAAGTGACAATATTTTATCATTGACCAACCATGGAGATGAATCGAAATGTGAAAACTTTAAAATTTATAATCGAAAGAATCCTTAAAATGATGGAGAACTTCTAGAAGCGTGATATAAAAGTTAGTCGTCAGTTTAGAACTGACGTCAATTCGCTACACGGTCGGGATTTAATTGACTATGAGTTCGAAAAGAATATAATAAAAATTAATGATGGTGCAAAACACGAAGACGTAATCACAAAGAAAATCACAATAACTGAACAGTTCGTTTTAATCATGAAGTAGGCTAGGATGGTGACGTCTAGAATGACAATAAAAAATCCCCTATTAAACTATTTACCTTCGAGAACTTAACAACATCAAACTCATTCAGTTGAACTACACATCTTTATCATCACTATAAAATAGATGATTGAAATTCCTTCCATTTACAAGAACTTACTTTGACATTTTGTTTCGTATTCTTAACAGATTTAACGGTTTTTCGTTGTTGTTGTTGTTGTTGAATCTGTTTACTGATAAATTTCACACAAATATGATTATAATTTCGTGTAATTTGACATGTTAGAAACATGGCTATATCTCCAATACATTCAATATCTAAAATAGACTAGAATTGAATGTAATTTCATATTGTATTATACATTGAAATGTATTCTACAATCTAATTGTCTTTGTGGATGATTCATTGTATATAACCATTCTTGTCCAATAATAAAATGTTTAAATTGTGGTTTCTCATTATCTAAATGACAAATGGAATCAGACCAAAATAATAAATTATCAAAATCATTTTTGCATAGTTTATGTCTTAATATTCTTTCAATTGCACAACCATTTTTATACATTGTATCACTAGAATAGGATAATTATGAATATATATATACGTTTGTATAGAAGTGAATTAGTAATGAAATAAGTATATAAGTAGATGGATGTACTTTAAAGCAAATCTACAAGTTTATTTAACCAATTAAAGTATATTGGATACAATGGTCAACATATCAGATGATTGAATAAATATTATTTCTAATTATCCTATTGGTTATTTTCAATTCCATATGTCTCAATCGAAATTATTCAATTGAATTGAATAATCAAATAATGATCTAGCTTCAATTATTGGAATTACTTATACTTACTTACTTAAGTCTATTACTCCTAATGGAGCAAGGGACACCAACTAGCATTGTCCAACTCACTCTTTCCTGGGCCTTCCTTTCTAGACCTATTCAATTGTTGTTCATTCTTCTCATGTCTGTCTGTCTTTATTTCTCGGAGTAATATGTTCTTTGGTTGTCCTCTTTTCTTTTGGCTTTGAGAATTCCAAGTGAAGGCTTGCCTTGGTAAGCAGGAAAAATAATTGAAATTACTATCATATCCACTAAAACGCCTTCTGATACTAATCAATATATCCTCACTAATGACTGGTTTCGAGAAGTATTTCCAGGAAATCTAGTTAGAAATACTGACCAGTGGATTTCAAACGGGTCTGTTGTGAGATAGTAAATCACTGAAAACAATGGTGGATGTGTCGCTCAATTTCGTGGATTAGTTGAAGTTAGGAATTAACAGCGTTGCATGCCGGCGGACTCAGTGGTATAATGGTTAAGCGCCCGCGCGCGAGACGGATAGATCCTAGGTTCGAATCTTTCTACACGGGACCGTTAGTGTGCATTGGTGAAGCGTCCCACATTCGGACGAAACGGCTGTCCAGTGCTTCCAGGTTTTTTTGGTGGTCTAGCTTCAATTAAATCATGATCTCAACTATTAAAATAAAATGAAACTGTAATCCCAAATTTATAGAAGAGATCAAACTCATAGATTCACAAGTAAGTAATATAAAATCAATTCATTTTATAGACTGTGTTAATTCAACAAATTTACGGTATGTAAGTTTATAATCCAATAAAACAATTTCATGCCAGCATTAACTAATGTAGACATGAAACAGTTATATTAACTTTCTAATGTGACTAAATTACATCATACTAATGATCTATCACATGATAAAAAAACGTATGACAGTAGTGGTTTTACTAAAAATAAATACGAAGGAAGATTGTATTCTGTTGCCTAAAAATATGATAATACCTGACTATAGAAGTTTATCTTGAGTCTCAGAGGCAGTAAATTTTGTATTATTCACAATGCGAGAATAATTTATTTATTTGAACACATAAATATTGGTACAAGAGTGCGCCAAATATATATGCGCCTCACAAAACAATGAGAATTTGAAGAGAAGGAAAAAAAGTAAGGAGCGTAAAAAAAAGAGAACAATAACGAAGAGATTGGTGCAAAGTAGTGTGGTAATAATAATAATAATAGTAATGGGGAACGGAAAGGTACAATCGGAAGAAATCTTTCAGTTAAGGAAGACACAATCACTTTTTATGAAGAAAGTAAAAGAAGGTTACAGCAGGATCGCCACTGGCTTCTATTCTGAGCCATATCTGATAACGTCTCTAGCCACTGTGTAGCACCATCTCTCGGACCCCAACCAGGGAGTCGTGAAGGACCAACACAAGCCAGTCCTTTGCAGCTTTCTTTCATGCCACGACACCATGTCATATACTGACCACCTCTCCGCTTTCCCCAACCAGTCCCAGAGTCGGCAAATAATACACAACGAGAAATTCTCTGGGACGACATTCGTAGAACATGTCCAAGCCACCAAAGTCGGTGTTGCACGATGGTGACACTAATTAGATTATCATCTCTGTGCCCGAACACACGATACCGTACCTCTGCATTACTAACATCGTGTTGCCACTGAATGTCAGCAATCCTTCAGAGACAGCGATGATCGAATACAGAGAGTCGTCTAACATCCTCAACTCGGAGAGGCCAGGTTTCACAAGCATAGAGCAAAACTGCTCTCACCGACGCGTTGTAGATCCGACCTTTTACAGCCAGACTAACATCACGAAGGCGCCAAAGATGGCTCAGATTGGCATAAGCCGCTCTGGCTTTCACTATACGTGCATTGATCTCATCACTCACACCCCCACCAGCACTTATGCAGCTACCCAGATACACGAACTTCTCGACTACTTCTATCTGCTCACCACCCAGGATGAGTACAGGATTAGAATCCTGCCAGTCTTGTAGAAGTACTTTGCACTTCGAAGGTGCAAAGCACATAGCGTACCTACGGGCATTGATTGTCAACTGATTAGGTGCGGATTGCATGGCTTGAGCATTATCGCACACCAAGACAATATCATCCATATACTCAAGGTTGGTAAGTCTTTCTTCAGACAACAGATCCACACCGCCATTACTTACATCCATCAGAGCTGTTTCCAGAATGTCATCGATGGCAAAGTTGAAGAGGAATGGTGAGATTGGGCAATCCTGCCTAACCCCACTGCTTGAATGGAACAATGGAGAGAGGTGGTTGTGTGGCTTCACTCTACTTGAGGTGTTTGTTTATAGGGCTTTTAGGATGTTAATAAACCTCTCAGGAACACTCTTCTTCAATGGAAAATCCCACAGAACAGCCCTGTGCAACGAATCGAAGGCAGCCCTGATGTCAAAAAATACTACGATTGTTGGCCTGTGATGAGTATGGCGGTGTCCTAACATTTTTCGGAGGGTGAAGATATGATCACTACATTCTCAACCGGAACGAAACCCAGCCTGCTCCTCGCGAGTCACTCTTTCTCGGGTTTTGAACAACCTACGAAGTATGACAGAAGCCAATAGCTTGGACGCAATCGGAAGTAGACTTACCCCCCGATAGTTGTTACAGGAACGACGTGAACCCTTTTAAAGGATAGGGACAACTATCGACTCATTCCATGACGTTGGTACACTCTCTAGTTCCCAAACCTTTGTAAACAACGTCGTCAATTCCTTAGTCAGAAAGTCACCACGATCTTTAAAAAGAGCCGGAGGTAAGTCATCTGGGCCAGGTGATTTGTAACGCTTCAAGGGTTTGAGTTCCTTGCGGACTTCCACCTTATTTGGTGGATCAGTTGCCACCGGTCATGGAGGGCAGGACAGTCTGACCGATGTTGCTCGAGCACCAGGCCAGTTGAACTGCCCTTCGAAAAATTCTGCCCATCGTCCAAGACGTCGATGGATGTTAGTGATCGGCGTTCCGTCATCCTCGCAGATTGTTTCGCTCACACCAGACTTCTTGCCGCCAGTGGCTTGGATGAGTTGGAAGAGCTTCCGGTAGTTACCAGATGCAGCTGTTGCTTCCACCACCAGGCTTCTCGGTCCTTACGCAAGCTTTGTCCGATTTCCTTACGTAACATCCTTCGTTTATGGTCAAACTCACGGTCACCCGGAGTAGACCGACGGGCTTCAGTGAGTTGTAAGGAGCCTGAAGAAACCCAGTGCCTATAAGCGAGACGTTTCGCCAACCCACAACTGGCCTTACTTGTCATTTTCATAGCGTCGTACAGCTGCAACCAATGCTCATCTATACTTTTCGGTGGAATGGTAGCTAGCCTAGAGGCTAGCTCGGTTCGATACTTGGTTGCAACAGAAGTTGCAACGAGCTTGCTAACATCAATCCTTTGGTGGTGGTCACTTCGTTGGCCAATGAAAAGTAAGATTGGCACAAACAAGAATTACTTACTTACTTACTTACGCCTGTTACTCCTAGTGAAGGAGCATAGGCTGCTCACCAGCATTTGCCATCCAACCCTGTCCAGGGCAATCCTTTCCAGCTCCTTCCAATTGTTATTCATCCATTTCATATCCGCTTTTATTTCCCGACGTATTGTGTCCTTTGGCCTTCCTCTTTTCCGTTTCCCTTCAGGATTCCAAGTTAGGGCTTGCCTCGTGATGCAGTTGGACGATTTGCGTAATGTATGTCCTATCCATTTCCATCGTATTTTCCTAATTTCTTCTTCAGCTGGAAGTTGGTTTGTTCTCTCCCACAGAAGGCTATTGCTGATGGTATCCGGCCAATGGATGTTGAGTATCTTGTGTAGACAGCTATTTATAAATACTTGTACTTTCCTGATTGTAGTTGTTGTAGTTTTCCAAGTTTCAGCTCCGTTCAGTAGAACTGCCTTGACGTTCGTATTGAAGATTCTCACTTTGATATTGGTTGAAAGTTGTTTTGAGTTCCATATGTTCTTCAATTGTAGGAATGCGACCTTTGCTTTGCAAATCCTCGTCTTTACGTCTGCATCTGAACCTCCTTGTTAATCGATGATGCTTCCTAGGTATGTGAAGGATTCTAAATTTTTCAGAGTTTCGCCATCAAGATTGATTGGATTACTGTTCTCCGCTTTGAATTTGAGGACCTTGGTTTTCCTTTTGTGTATACTGAGGCCTACTGATGCAGAGACTGATGCTACACTGGCTGTCTTCATCTGCATCTGTTCGTGTGTACGCGATAGGAGGGCTAGGTCATCTGCGAAGTCCAAATCGTCTAATTGATTCTGAGCTGTCCATTGTATTCCGTGTTTTTCTTCAGATGTCAAGGTCTTTATAATCCAGTCGGCACAACCAAGAGCATGATCAAAGTCCAGATAGGTATTCTGAAAAGAGTGGCAGTTTTGTACACAACCAAGCCAGCGGTAGCTGATCGCGATGTGCTCAATCTGAATACAGGCTTGAGATGCAAAAGAAGGACGCCAGTTGGCACATCGTCGATGACTGTGCTATGAGTTTGTGCTAGCCAGAAACAGGTTGTGGTCTGTGCACAGTTGCAGTAGACTGTATCCGTTATCTGTCCTGCGACTAACAAGTCCCCGTCGGCCACCTAAACGACTCTCTTTTGTACCTAGACGCCTAACCTGATCATTCGAGTCTCCGGCTTGTACCACAATATCTGTCGAACTCACTTTCTTGAGAAGAACAGATAACTGGTGGTAAAACGCATCCTTGATTGCATCCGGGCTGCAATCTGTCGGGGCATAGGCGGAGATGACGAAAAGACATCGTTTCTCACGCCGATTTCTTCTCACTTTGATGGAACTTTCTAATCTAACAGCACATAACCGACTGTTAATGGGGATCCAATCGACTAGTGCTGCCTCAGCTCTAGCGCTAAGTGCAACTCCAACGCCAGCACGACCAGACGAAGATGCCACAGGGTCCCCGGATAAGCGCACGTGAAACAAGGTTTTTGAAGCGACAGATGGACAGCGAATTTGTAGTACTTCACCAGAGTCTTGAATACGGGTCTCGGATAAACAGCAAACATCAATATTAGGACTTTCCGAAGACATAGCCAGCCCTATCTGTTGTCCGACCTGCATAAATGTGCGATCGTTGAAGGCAGCCAGTTTAAATGGTGCACGTGGTTTCAGAAAAACTGCTTTAGTATTCGTACTCGGTGGTAACATACAATTTTCAACCGGACAGTGACTCGAGAACGTTTATATAGAGTCGATTTCCACCAAAGACGAGCTGCTGTATAAGTAGAAAAATTGAGTATAGACAGAGTAGGAATAAAAGAGGGTGAATAATGACGTAGCAAATAATAATGGTAATGATAATAATAATAATAACGATAATAGTAATAATAATAACATTAACAATGCGAGACAATTGATTGTTATTTGCAGGGAGAAGAATATATTTCAAAAGTAGACAGTTTATCATGTTTTTGTGTGCGGGCTGAGATACTGCCCGGGTGCCCAGACCGAAGCAGAATAAAATGATCAATGGACCGAATTTCTCGAGGAATTATTCTTCACTAGAAGATGTTGATGAATAAATAGCCACGTACTGGTGTTCTTATTCTGTTCCTCTGTCATAATTCTCAGGTCATTTTCATTCTCAACATGAATCACTATGAATAACACTTGTAAGGAGAATAAATAAGTAATAATTTCAACATACCAGACGTTGGGCAG